TTTTGTCCTAAACGAACTAAGGAATTGCAATGTAGAACAGCTATAATTTTTGCCTTTTTTTATTTTTACACTTAATAAAGTTTTTTTTTTAAATTTTTTTTAATTAATTTCTTCATGCTTTCATTGCAGTATACGAAATTAGTGTCAGATATTATTCTATATGAGATAATTTTTTTGATTCAACTTTTATCAATGAACATAATACCGGCTCGAATATACATTCAATGTTTACTATGCTCTCAATCACTTTAGAACTGAGACGTTTATATAAATAAAATATATACATTTTTTTATCACGTTTAAAAGAAAAAAAAGAAACAATTTAAATCTCAAACATATTTCAAATGTTTAATTTATAAAAATTAAAATCATTAAAAACGGTAAAAATATTACGTAAAAATTTTTATACCTTTAAGATTTCAGTTTGAATATAGTTGACAAAAGCAATGAATTTTAAACCGATATAATTTTTATTTCTCGATTCAAAATGGAATTTTATAATAAATATACTTACTTCCTTGTAACTGTATTAATTACTTCACTCGGTAATAAGTCAGTTAGTTACGCCTGATTCTGTAATTCTCTAATTACTGGCTCACGGTTCATAATGTCTGGTATGAGATGATTATGGATACCATCTACTCTAACTCTACCATTTGCACTGCATAATTTTACCCGGCAACGATTTACTGTGATTCGTGGACAATGGTAACCCTTCCTAATTTTAAGATCTGTAAACCTGAAAGGAAATTATAGACCCCCGAGCTTCCAGGAGCCTTCTAGAGTGATGTAAATCGAGCTGCTGCAGACGTTGTTGTGAGAAGCAAGAGCTTTCTCATGTAGAAATATCAAAGCTCAAAGAATACTGTGGAGTCTAATTCAAATCTGGAGGGTAGTTTGGGAACCCATCACCTGGGCCAGTAGTTTCACTTCGTTTTATTTTCTCAACATAAACTTGTATAAAATATTCTCCATCATTATTAATTAATTATTATTAATAGTAATTAATAAAAAAAATTAATAGTTATTAAATAAATTAATTAAATATAATCTTTAAGTTTTAGTTATAAAAGAAGTTAACTGATAATAATTATTAGTGAATTAATAAAATAGTTTGTTTAAAATTTACGAAAAAAATGCTGCTTTTTCAGTTTTACTTGTTAACGGTTATTCCATTAGCAATTTATGAATATCTATTAAATCACGAGTAAAATGGATTAACTAATGGATTAACTAATTAAAATGGATAAACTAATTTAAGTCAACGAGTTAGTCCTTAATGAAGGATCTCGAATTTGTAAATTACGTTTGTCAACATAAATGTTAATATAAATGAATTAAAAAAAAAAAAGCAAAATTTTTTGTTGCGCTCATCTATTTGACTACAGTTGTTATTAAAATTATTACAGTATAATATACTTTTTTTCCATTTTTATCGAATGATCATTAAAAAATTGCTCGGTACTTGACATATGAAACAAATTAATCGTGCTGCATTATCTTCTCTGTTGGCAGATATTTCAGCCTTGAATTTGCATTCTAAACATAAACATAAATGCCCACACGGACAAAAAACTGCTCTTGCTTGATTTGTCAAGCATACATAGCATTTATTAATGCCTTCTACTGCCAGCTGATCAGCAAATACCATTCCTGCTGACGCATCATGAATCCATGGAACAACCTCCGGCTCATCTTCTTCAATGATTTCACCAGCTGTTTTAAAAAGAAACAAAAAAATGTAACAGTTACACTAGCTATAAATATATTATGATGAGATTATTTAAACTATTAGTATTTATTTTATTTCTATTTTTACCATAATAATCGATTTCATCAATTGGATTAGCTGCATTTAATGGTGCATGGTGTATAGCTGGTAATTCAACAGCATTACGGATGTGTTCCAATAAAACTTCTTCTTCTTGTGTTAAAGCATCATCGAGGTCTATTCAAATAAAGATAAAAACTGTTTGTCTTACAAAACGTATTTTTTTATAGATTACTAATGAAATTTTATACAACCACATACATTGCTGTCTCATTACGGCAACGTCTAAGCGATGGCGGACTTCCAGACGTCGAACTGCAGCCATTTCAAGAAATTCGAGCATTGTGTATCTGCACAATAAGTTGTTGTAATGTAATGTTAATTAAAAAATTTAATCTGTAGTAAATAAATAAACGTATATCTCGGTGTTCTTAACATGGAATCATACCTCCTGGTTTCTAATGCTTCTTGGATATTGCGAATATAAATATCCATTTGATATTGTCGATGTCGCCTATTTCTTCCGAAATCCATTCCATCCAGTAATCGAGTTAATTTTTTTTCATCATCTTTGATTATTTCAATCAGGCGATCTGAAATTAATTTTTTAACATAGAGAACTAATAATTTTTATGAATGTATTTTTTATTAAATATAATAAAAAATATTAATAATAATAAAAAATATATATATATACACGCAGTGTGATTTTTATTAAAAAAAAAAAGAAATTTTATGTCCTTTCAAGATAAGTTTAATGAAAAGCAGTTCGATAAAGAAATACTTCTTATTACTTACGTAAAAATTTAAATAACGGTGGATGAGGCCCAACTTTAGATACTAAATGCATATTGCAAACTTCAGCAATATTATTAGTTCGCCACGGTGTATTATAAACTGAAATAATATTTGCCAGTGGCAACCAAAATCTTTGAAGATATCGACGAAATAAATAAAAATTATCATTTCCATCTTCTAAAGGTCGAATTAATGCTACGACCTCTTCCAAAGCTTCCTCAAATCTAGCTGCTGGGACTAGTGGTAACGCCCAAGTTAAATTCAAAATCCGATGTTCAGGTGCCTCCCGACCGGGAAGTCCTAGAGAGTTCCATTTACGTGTAACGGCCTGCAAAAATTTTTTTTATTCAGCATCTTGCTTCAGTAAGTTTAATATTTGTGAGAATCTAGTGCTGCTACTGTGACTTTTACAAAAAATAAAAAAAAAATGAAATTACCCGCGCAAAATGAAACCAACAACCTCTCCGATGAACCCACGGCATGCAAGTTTGTACGGATTTTAAAATAGCCGCTTCGAAGTCTGTTATAATTGTTTGAAGGTTTTCTTGGACTTCAGGAACTTGAAGTAGAATCCACCGAAATATTGCGTTATACATTTCTGTTGTACGATGACTGCATAAAATGTATAAGGCAGGAATTCCCTGAAATTGTTTATTAAACGTTACTAATGTTAACACTTCGTGATCAATATTAAAATTTAATACATATTAATTTCATCTCGTATCATTTAAAATTATTATTTACCACATCGAATCGACGTATATGAATGATGAGAAGTTGCAAAGCACGAGGACGTAGTGGTACGCACTGAATCAAATAAAAACTTTATAGAAAAGACAATATTGTAAAAAAAATTAATGGTGATAATTTTCACTAGATATTTACCTGAAAAGTAGCATCAAGGTGCCACTCATCGCTTTCTCCGAGTCTTTGTAACATGTTATTGCTACCAAAAATTTGAGCAATTGATCCATCTTCAGCAATAACTTCTTGCTGATAAATATTGGATACCATACGGTAAGCTGTTAATGTTTCACCTAGATCTTCAAAATTTTGTGGAATTGGAGGACGGTAACGACGTCGTTGCCGATGAATGACTTGTCTTGAAGCGTGGGATCGAATATTATCAGCATTCGGCAAGCTGTTGAAACAATAGTAATTAATCAACGGAAGAAAGGGAAAGTATTCATAAATTAATAAATACAAATATAGAAAAAGAGAGATAGAGATATCAACTTTTTTTGTTAAAAAAAGATAATTTTTTTAAATCAACTTTTATCAATGAACAAAATACCGGCTCGAATATACAATCAATGTTTACTGTGCTGTCAATCACTTTATAACTGAGAAGTTTATATAAATGAAATATATACTTTTTTCTATCACGTTTAAAAAAAAAAAAAAATTAATAAAAAAAAAATTGTTTACATGTCAAACATATTTCTAATGTTTAATTTATAGAAATGTATATAATTAAAAACAAAAAAAATATTACGCAAAAATTTTTACAACTTCAAGATTTCAGTTTTAGTATACTTGACAATATCTTAAAAGCAATTAATTTTAAACCGATATAATTTTTATTTTTTGATCAAAAATGAAATTTTATGATAAATATACTTACTTCCTTGCAACTGTATTCATTACTTCATTGGGTAGTAAGTCAGTAAGTAACGCCTGATTCTGTAATTCTCTAATTACTGGCTCACGGTTCACAATGTCTGGTACGAGATGATTATGAATACCATCTATTTCAATTCTGCCATCCGCATCTTTCCACATTTTTACCCGGCAACGATTTACTGTGATTCGTGATGAACAAAGGTAACGTTTTCTAACTTTGGCACGATACCTACAATCCAGATGATATGTAAAACCATCATGTGTGATTCGATTGGTTCCTCGTCGTTGTCCTACAGTTTCCATTCCCTTACATAAAAGCTTCGAGTAAAAAATATTGATAAATAAAAAAAATTTTTACAATTAAAATTAATATTTTTTATGATACCGAAGTTAACAGATATATATAAATGTTTAGGACTTCTAAAACAACTAAATTATTATGAAAAAATTTCAATAACATTCAGATTTTTAAAAAAGTTTAACGTGCAAATTTTTGAAAAATATTTCTTCTTATACCTAATTTTTTTATTATGAAAACTTGAAAAATTCACAGAAGCCTGTCAACTTTGATAAAATTATTTTTTGAGGTTTCGCCGTTATACTATTGCATATGCTACACTTTCACTATATTTTATATCATATTAAAGTGATTATAAAATATAATAATTTACCTGGACAACAAATCTAGAGAGCAATTAATATTAATTATCAATAACAAATGTTTTAGACTACGCAACAGATTAATAACCTCTATTACTTGTGTAATATTATCTTATATAAATTAAGGAAAAAACTTTTTTATATCCCGCCTAAAACTCGTGTATACCGCTACCAATTATAGAATCAACAGACCACTTGACTATAGTTAATAACGTAAATTATCTGTATTACACTATAGTTAAAAACTACAGTGCGTATAGAATCATGTAAACGTGACAATTTTTGTCCTGCGCATTAACTACTAAAGTTCAAAGTCCAAGTATGCTTTCTGCGTAAACCAAGGAATCAAGAGAATTGACCAATCACCAGAGAATTGAAGCATTAAGATTTAGCGGGTAGTTGGTAGAAAGAAGAACCCTAACCAGGCATCCAAAGATATTGCTAAGCTTCAGTTCAGTTGTTTAGAAGCTTGCTTCGAATCATTTTCGAATACTTTACAGATCGAAATAGTAGTCTAAAGCAGTTCACTGTGGTTGCAGCGACTCTTCAATCTCGGACAAAAAGGTATGTTGAATTTTTTCATTAAAAAATTTAATGAAAAAAAAAGGCGTCTAGTATAAAAAATAAAAGAATATTATTTTAATCACAAAGATAAATTTATAATGTTTCTTATTAAAGTACGTTGTTGTTACTAAGTTGCGGCATCCTTTTTGATCTAAGTAACTTTTCATGTCAATATTTTTTGTGCCGCATTAATCATAAAACTTCATCTCAAGTAAAAAAAATTTGCAAACTTTAGAATTTTCTTAAAATCTTAATTTTATTTTAAAATATTGTGATTTATTACATAACTTGATTTAACTTTTATTCAGGAGACAAAATATCAAGAATATTACGCAACTATACTTTTTAATTAATTATTTAATGATAATGCAGAGTCTAACTGTGTATATAAGTTTAATATCTTTAACATAATTATCCTTATAAGTTGGGACATTGGGATCGCTGAGTGACTACGTGCTTTACTCGAGCGGGTACGCGTGTCTATGAATTCTTTTGTTTGAAAGCGTTCTATGTCTCAATATTACTGGGCTTCGAACTCAATCAGGTATTATTTTCTTTATGAGGGTAATTTATGTCGATATTTAGATATTATTTGTATATACTTATATTAGGAATTAAAATGCAATCATTATTGAAAGTTTTATTCACATTGAAAAACTTGAAATGTCTAAATTTTATTGTTATTTTCCGATAGTTTTCAGGTTGAGGTAGCAGTCTCAAGCGGTTCGCTGCAGTTGCGTGGTTATTAAATCTCGGACATAAAGGTATGTTGAATTTTTTCATTAAAAAATTTTATGCAAAAAAATGGTGTCTAGTAAAAAAAAAAAAAAAAAAAAGAATAATATTTTAATCACAAAGATAAATTTATAATGTTTCTTATTAAAGTACGTTGTTACTAAGTTGCGGCATCCTTTTTGATCTAAGTAACTTTTCATGTCAATATTTTTTGTGCCGCATTAATCATAAAACTTCATCTCAAGTAAAAAAAATTTGCAAACTTTAGAATTTTCTTAAAATCTTAATTTTATTTTAAAATATTGTGATTTATTACATAACTTGATTTAACTTTTATTCAGGAGACAAAATATCAAGAATATTACGCAACTATACTTTTTAATTAATTATTTAATGATAATGCAGAGTCTAACTGTGTATATAAGTTTAATATCTTTAACATAATTATCCTTATAAGTTGGGACATTGGGATCGCTGAGTGACTACGTGCTTTACTCGAGCGGGTACGCGTGTCTATGAATGAAAATTCTTTTGCTTGAAAGCGTTCTGTGTATCAATTTTACTGGACCTCGAACTCAATTAAGTATTATTTTCTTTATTATTTTAATCACTTTTGTTTCGTCTTTAAACGAAACAACATTAATTCTATGAAACGCGTACCTGTTCGAAGTTAAAACACGTAGTTATTATTAGCGATCCCATAATCGAAACGTAGGAAACTAGTAATGTCAACGATATTTAACTTATATACACTGCAATAGACTGCAGCAGCATTTGATAGTTAATTTGTTATTATAATAACGCAAACTTTTCCATGTTTAGTCTGCTAATAAAAGTTTAATTTTTTTTATTATAATAAACACGATATTGTTTTATATAACTAACAAAAAAATAATTTTTTTATCACTTAAATAATGGCGCGTAATTATAAATAATTCAAACCTAAGAAGAAAGCAAAGAGTCGTCAAAGTTATTCCAGTGATATAAACTTTAACGTGTACAGTCACGCGCTTGCCGTAGTAAAGATATTACTACTAAAATATCCAAACGTCATATTTATTATTATAGATTAGCTCACATAGACACATATGTATTTTGACAATATACGGATTTTAAATATTTAATTTATAACCATATTCTTAAGAAACACGCGCTCAATGAAAATTTTTTTTACATTTCCAACATTCACCTATACTTGTTATATTTTCATATTATATACTTGATAAAATATTTAGAATGTAAAATATTAAAATCATGTTAAAATTGCCCCTCATGAAGATAAATACTTGCTTTTGTTTGGGTCTCAGTAAGATGACCCACATTACGTCTTTAAACGAAACAACATTAATTCTATGAAACACGTACCTGCTCGAAGTTAAAACACAGTTATTATCAGCGATCCCATAATCGAAACGTAGGAAACTAGTAATGTCAACGATATTTAACTAATAAACACTGTAATACTCTGCAGCAGCATTTGATAGTTAATTTGTTATTATAATAACGCAAAACTCTCAATGTTTAGTCTGCTGAATAAAAGTTTAATTTTTTTTTTATATTATAATAAACACGATATTTTTTTTATATAACTAACAAAAAAATAATCTTTGTATCACTTAAATTATGGCGCGTAATTAAAAATAATTCAAACAAACCTAAGAAGAAAGCAAAGAGTCATCAAAGTTATTCCAGTGATATAAACTTTAACGTGTACAGTCACGCGCTTGCCGTAGTAAAGATATTACTACTAAAATATCCAAACGTCATATTTATTATTATAGATTAGCTCACATATACACATATGTATTTTAACAATATACGGATTTCAAATATTAAATTTATAACCATATTCTTAAGAAATACGCGCTTAATGAAAATTTTTTTTACATTTATAACATTCACCCATACTTGTTATATTTTCATATTATATACTTGATAAAATATTTAAAATGTAAAATATTAAAATCAGCGATCCCATAATCGAAACGTAGGAAACTAGTAATTTCAACGATATTAAACTTGTATACACTGTAATACTCTGTAGTAGCATTTGATAATGAATTTATTATTAGAGTTGCGCAAAAATCTCCATGTTTAGTCTGCTGAATAAAAGTTTAATTTTTTTTTATTATAATAAACACGATATTCCTTTATATAACTAACAAAAAAATAATCTTTGTATTACTTAAATAATGGCTGATAATTATAAGTAATTCAAACAAACCTAAGAAGAAAGCAAAGAGTCGTCAAAGTTATTTCAGTGAAAGAAACTTGTAGAGACACGCGTCTGCACTCAGTAAAGATATCGCCACTGACAATATGTAAACGTCATTTTTATCATTATTATATCATTGCAAACGTATACACAAATATCTTTGGTGAAATTCAGCAATTTCTAAAATTTATTAATGATCATATTTTAAAAAACACACGGCTAATAAAGTTATTTTTCATTCTCATCATTTTTATATATTTAATATTTTTTTTATGTTATATACGTTATTGTATACTTGATATCTATATTTTTTACTTTATCATTATAAGAGATATTTCGATCCTGACATTGAATTAAATTAATGTGTTGTAATCCGAGGATTAAGGATCATGAAATAAGTTAATACTAGATTTTTATTTTACGCAACGTTTCGGAGTTTATTACTCCTTCCTCAGGCGTCACTTTTTACTTTATATTATAATAGTTGTTTAGTTTTTAATTTCTTGTTGCAAAAATTTATTATAGAAGGCAAAATCTGAAAATCACATAGAATTGTTCAAATGTATCCTCAGTTTGTCAATCTGAATTTAAATCTTATTTAAGATAAAATATTGTTTTTGCCAATATATGCATATACGAAAAATATAAAAATCTTGTAAAAATTAGCCCTCATAGAAAAAAAAATACTTGCTTCTGTTTATGTCACTGTAATGTGATATACATTAAGCCTTAAAACGAAAAAACTTTAATTCATTTAGACACGTATCTGCCGGAGGTAAAAACATATCGTCACTTATAGTCACTCTTACCGAATCCAATATTCCAACGTATCAAGTTAGTAATTTCAAAGAGGTAAAACTTTGAGATGAAATTTTATGAATTTTGCGAAACTAAAAAATATTTACACGGGAAGCTGCGTGGATCAAAGAAAGTGTCGCCACTTACTAGTAACAACGGATTGTTATGTGAAAAGTTTTTCATCTTTCTAATGAAAATAATAATTATATTTTTAAGTAGACGTGACTCTTTCTTAACTTAAAATTTATTAGTGATAAAAAGCAAAATATTCAATTGCAAAAATTGACCCTCATGAAAAAAATAATACTTGCTTTATTTTGACGCTCCGTAATCTGATACATTATACTCCTTTAAACAGTAGAACTGTAATTGTTAGAGACACGCGTATCGGCTCGAAATATTGAAAATTAGTCACTTTCAGCGATACAAAAATCCGAGCGTATGAAGATAAGAATCTCTAAAATTTAAAACTTATATACACTGTAATACTCTGCACAAGCATTAAAAAATTAATTAAAAACTATAGTGGTGCAAGATTCTAAATATTTTGTATCCAGGATCCAAGATAAATTTTGTTTTATAATAAATCACAATATTTCAAAATAAAAATAATATTTTAAGAAAGTTTTGGAAATTTTTTTTACTTGAGATGAAGTTTTAACTGTCTGAAAATTATCTAAAAATAATAAAAAAATTTAGACATTGCAAGTTTTGTGAACTGAATAAAGCTTTCAAAAAGGATTGAATCTTAATTGCTAATATAAGTATATACAAATAATATTAAAATATCGACAGAATTCGCTCTCGTAAAGAAAATAATACTTGATTCAGTTCGAGGCCCAGTAATATTGATACACAGAACGCTATGAAACAAAAGAATTTTCATTCATAGACACGCGTACCCGCTCGAGTAAAGCACGTAGTCACTCAGCGATCCCAATGTCCCAACTTATAAGGATAATTATGTTAAAGATATTAAACTTATATATACAGTTAGACTCTGCATTATCATTAATATAAAGTATAAAGTATTATATCAATTATATAATTTGAAAATATATGAAGTATACATGACTGTTAAGATTTAAGAAAAAACATTCATCAAGTGCGCGTTTTTTATGAATATGATCATCATTAAAATATTGGTTATTCGTATTTCATATTACAGAACTTCAAACAAAAGCAAGTTTTTTTTTCTATGGGGTCTAATTTTCTCATCTTATAAATATTCGTCGTATATACATATATTGGCTATCATAATTGAAGCCTGAATAACATTTGAATTCAAATTGAAAAACTAGCATGAAATTTCAACAATAGTATGTTATTTTGACATTCTGATTCCTTTAATAGGTTATCACTACAAGAAATTAAAAACTATGTATCAATTAAAAATCTTAAGTATTCATATAAAGAATAATATTAAGTATATAATATAGAAATATATAACGTATGTATAATTGTTGAAAATGAAAGAAAAAAATTTTATTTAGTGCGTTTTTTTAAAAAAATATGGTTATTAATTGGATATTACGGTTATTAATTAAATAGCGTAGAAGTACTGTTATTGGCCATGTCAGGACCATAGATTTTGCAATTAATTCGCGAACGGCTTAACTTCCCAATTTTTCCGTTTAAAAACATCGAAAAGAAGCCCTCAAAAAAAAAACTCACCTTAAAATTATTTTGCAGACCGAAATTATACGCGTTTTTAATTTTTATTGACCTTTGAAGTCCGTGGATTCGTAATAAATTCGCGAACGTCATAGATAGTCAATTTTTTCAGTAAACAACATTAAACAGAAGCTCTTGAAAAAATTTCAATGCATAACTATTTTGCAAACTAAAATTATACGCGTTTAAATATATTGTTAGCACTTGATGTCCCAGAATTTGCAATAATTTTGCGAACGGTGTTTATTTTTATTTTTAATTTGCAAATACATTGAAAAAAAGTCCTCAAAACAATTTTACTGCAAAATTATTTTGCAGATTGAAATTATACACGGTCGCAGTCTTAATCGGTATTCGCACTCTCAGGATTTGCTTTGAATTTGCGAATGTGTCAGATTTTTCATTCTTCACGTCCGATAGTATCAACCCGATGCTTTTGAAAAATTTTACGTAAAAGTCATTTTGCCAAACGAAATGAAACGCGGTTAAAGTCTCGGTTGTCATTTGCTATTCATGTGTTTGCAATTAATTTGCGTACAGTTTGCTTATTTTTCTTATTTATCAGTTATACAACAAATACTTTATAGAAGGAAAAAAAAAATTCCAATGTTAAAAAATTTTTCAATATAGAAGATAAATTTTTGACCCCCTCAGGGCCCAACTCAACTTCGTCCCTGGCGCCGCTTATCTGAAGCCTCTATTTTTAGTCGCTAGCTTCAGCTTCATTCATTCTTGGCCGCATGATATTTTAATTAATGTGTAAAAAATTTAATTATTCAAGTTGAATTTTCAAAGAATTAATGCTCATTGTAATGGTTTTTTGTATTCCACTTTAACAATTCTTTCATTTTTCAGTCCATTTTTGTCAGAACAACATGACGAGCCTTTTTTCATATGAAGGTCACCAATTTAATTTAGACGGACGTTACAACGTTAACGGTAACCAACGTTACCGTTGTTTGTATTTTGATAGCGTTCGTCGATGTCCAGTTAAATTATGGCGATTGACTAATGGTCGCATGTTACAAATAGGCCAGCACAACCATATCGTTCATCAGATTCAACCTGATCAACCTCCTGAAAGAAGACCTGCCCCGAGAGTACGTAATACTAATCGGCGGCAACCAGCCCGCCGTCAATCGCTTCCTCCAACACCTTCAACCTTTGAGGAACTAGAAGAAATTCTGTTGGTTTTACGTGCTGCTGATGATATATATCAAGGTCATGTAAAAGACAATTCTTCAATGGCATATATATTCAGCACTGATCGCAGTTTGAAACTGCTCAGTGAATCTTCCGAGTGGCATATCAATATATGCTTCCAGTGTGCGCCACTCATGCCCCAGTGCAGTTTTTTGTTAACTATTTTAGTGCGGCGAGAAAATTTGGTAAATCTATTTATTTGCTAAAAATTAATATCTATTTATTTCCGCGAATAAGTTTTTCATTGATATTTTATCAATAGGGTGTTCCTGTTTTTTTCGCATTATGTAATGAAAACACTTCAAAATTATTTGGGTTAATCTGGGCGTGGATTCTTGAAAAAGTTCCGGATACACGGAACAATCTGAAATATACGATTTCCGATGTCGACAGATCTCTCTTATCATCGATAAAGTTATGGCTGCCATTTGCGGAACGCAATGGCTCTTGGATAAATGCAGCCAGAGTAAGTATCGGTAATTAAATATTAATAATCGATTGGATTATTAATTATTTACGTTTTCTGGTTTTAGGCTCTGGCGGATAAATGGCGCTCATTACAATTGCCCAATCGCGACAAACCGCTCAGTATAATTCTGAATTCAAGTTGGGCAATTTCATTTGTTCCTGAAGAGAAATTAAATGAGGCTATCGACATATTAGCCAACATGCTTGATGCTCATGACAATGGCACACAAAATTTCACGCAATTTCGACAATTTCTTGTAAGAGAATACTTACCAGTGGCTAATTATTTATCTATCTGGGGCAAACCCTGGAAAGCTGCAAGTTTTACTGAAACTTATTACAATAAATTGCTTCATCATTTTGGGGAGGAGCATCCAACGATATTTCATTTAATACGTAAGAAAATAGTTCAATTTATTTTTAAAGTTTGTATTATAATTTGAGCTCTCCAATATAAAAAAATTTAATTGTCATTACGTAGCCAAACTTTCAACTCTTATCGGAACTGAAGTAAACAGTAGCTGGACCCCCCGAGCTAGAAGAAGCAATTCAGATCACTACGTCTTCGAAACTGCGACTGTTCTATCGAGTAGACTGCATGGTGGACAGTAAGATAAATATAATATTTCTAATAACAATATATCAATAGCTATATTTCCTTAGTTACGTAGATTCATAATAATATTTTTATTATATAAGTTTTTCTACTATTGTTTCTATTTGTTACAGATGCTCACTTTTGGATTATTTGAAGATTATCGGCTTTACCCGCAAAGAAATTCGAACAACTTTAGACGTTGCTGTGGACCGGCAAAGATGTAAGAATGATCGTAATATTTATTATATCTTTTCATTATAAATTGACTTTTGATTTTTTCAGATCTTTATCAAAATTTGGCACAATTCGAGCATCGGTTAGACCTTTTGGGCAGCAGGAACTTTGTCAACCGAGCACCAGAGCCAGAACCCGCGGAAGTTGAAGATGAACTCGTGGAAACCGAAGATCAACCCGCTGCAGTAGAAGATGAACCGATAGAAATTGAAGAAGATCGGCCAGAGGAGATCGAAGATCAACCTGCGGAACCCCGAAGTGAAAATGATGATGATAATATTTACTATCGTAAGTAGAAATTATGGATTACTTCTTAGTAATCATTAAAAGACAAAAAAAAAATGTTACATTAATTTTTTAACTTTTTTTTGCAGGTGGAGAGATACAGCTTCTTGATGAACCGGAGCAGCTTCCATGGATAAATTCTTCAACTCAAGGGATGGAATTTAATGACGAGGAAGCTGATGACTTCGTGCTTGCCTGTGTTGCCTGCCGTATAAATCGGCCGAAGGCGGCATTCAGTCCATGCGGACACAGCTGCTTGTGCTTAGAGTGCAAGTATAAAATTGAAGAGGCAGCGAGACAGGAGAACGCTCATCGATCCTCTCGTACGATTGCATGTTTTGTTTGTCGCTCACCGAGTTCTATAATTGCTATCTTAGAATAGCTTAATGCTAGAAATATTTTTTACATTTGACATTTTATCATTTTTACTTAAAAATAACCGGAAATACCATAATACTGCTATACTATAATTAACTTTTAATCGTAGTATATTATTTCGTTCATTAGAAAATTTTTTTTTTTTCTATAACATTTTATCTAAAATCTAGAATTTGCTTGTAATATTTAATACTCCATCATAAATAAACATTAACATAATACATTAAAAAGTTTCTTGTAATATTCTTTTCATGCAAAAATAGTATAATACTAATTAATATTAAGGTTAATATCTGTATCTATTTCTTTCTCTATATATATTTATTAATTTATGAATATTTTTTCCTTTCTTCCGTTGATTTATTTACTATCGTTTCAACAGCTTGTCAAATGCTGATAATATTCGATCCCACACTTCAAGACAAGTAATTCATCGGCAACGACCTCGTTACCGTCCTCCTATTCCACAAAATTTTAAAGATCTAGGTGAAACACTAACAGTTTACCGTATGGTATCCAATATTTATCAGCATGAAGTTATTGCTGAAGATGGATCAATTGCTCAAATTTTTGGTAGCAATAACATGTTACAAAGACTCGGTGAAAGCTCAAGTAATTCAACTGGCAAGCCTTTACCATTATCATTATTACTATTTTTAATATCATTATCATTATTAGCTCTTTTGAACCTAGAAGAAGCTTCACGCTGACCAAGTGATCATCGTGGTCTTTTATTCCTACCAGAAGCTCAGGTTAGATTTGGTTTTTTAGTTCGTCTATTTGAAAAGCGTAGATGAAGGAATTTAAATGCAATAATAATAACAGGCGTATTGATGTATCGTGGACACAAAACATCTGCAACAATTTTGATACCAAGTGGCTTTTAAATGTTAAAACTATAAAAAGGCTCATGTCTTTTTAATTGTCTTCTGTTTTTGGCTTCACTACACATGGCAGTAATTTTTTTTTTTTTTTTTTTTTTTTTTTTTTTTTTTTTCAATTTATTTACATTTATGTTAAGAAACTAAAACTAATTTATATAATATTTTATGTTGCAAACTAAAATTAAAAGACTAAATAAATAAAAGTATCAGCCTTATAATTATTTGATTTTACTTTTGTTTTGAAACATTTCATAAATTATAAGTAATGCAGTTTTTGTCCTATATCAATAAAAATTAACAATTACTTTTTGCTCAATTGTTTATTTACCAAATTTAATATGAAAATTAAATTAGCCGACATTTCAAAATTTTTAGAAATTGTTAGCCGATATTTCAAATTTTTTTATTGAACAAATTTCAATTAAATAATTAAAAAAAAATTCACATGTAAAAAACTTGAAAAACTATAAGTAAAATTTATTACAAATATTTTTTTAGTTGTAATTATTTAATAAAAACAATCAAAAATTTTTAGACGGCTGCTAACTTCAGTGACATCATTTTTTCTGTTTATTTCTTATTTTAAAAACTTGAACAACTACAGGTGAAATTTACAAACGTTTATTTTTTTAGTTATAATTGGTTTTATGAATAAAATTTCAAATTGTAAGACATGCGCAATTTCATTAAACTTTTTTACCTATTGAGATTGGAGTACAGATGTCACTGAATAAAGATAATATTGAATAAGGATGGTATGGGTTGTGAGTGAAGTTATATTTGAATACAGTTGGTACTGAATTGAGTTGTTAGCACTGTACTGGAGTAAAGAAATTCTGAGTAAGCCTGTAAGTGTGCCTAAAATTCACTGAGTTAGTTTTTGATTTTTAATTTTTATTATTAAAAATTTTTGCCTTTAATTTAAAAATGAGCTGCAAGCCTATTTTTTTAATTGGTACTCCAAACTCAAACGTCTTTGGCCGTAAATTACCTACGGTTAAAGAGGTTATGTCTGTGTTTTTTTTATCACCATGTTGTATTGAAGGAGACAATTAGAAAAAGTGCGGGGAATACCATAGTTAAAGTTGAGAAGCAATGGCATTCTGCTGGATTGCCTGTTTGTGGAAGAGAAAACGCTGTAAAAAAATTGATTGAATTACATTTTAAGTGGAAAGGTTTACAGAAAAATAAAAGCAAGAAAAATTCACCAGCTCAGATGAAAAATCAGTCTCTTTTTCAAACAAAGTTGGCTGAACTCTTTGATATTACGGATCAGAAAAGTCTTCAATCAATAAATTACGATAAAAAGATTTTTTTAGAAGGGCAAAAATCTTCGAATCGAAGAGGAATTATAAATTTAAGTTCACAACCAGACACTGAAGCAGATGTGATGATAGCCGATGAAATAAGTAAGTTTTACATTTTATGAACATGTACCAATTAACATTCATAGTGCTCATAACTCGATATAAATAAATTCCTAATTATCCAATTGTACAATATATAAATTGACGGTCATTAATTGTTTTAATGTATAATTATGATTTATAATTCATTTATTATTTGATTAAAAATAGTGTTAGCTAACATTTTTTCTGAATAACTATAAGTAGATGACTAAAAATTCTTTTTACTTTCAACTTTTAATATTTAATTTTATTTTTCCTAAAATTGACAAAGACTTTTTTTCTACATCTAATAATATTTGTATCCTTATAAAAATATTCAAATTTTCAATTCTAGATCAGCCAGTGAAAGATAAACAGATCTCAATAATTAAACAAGAATCTGATCTAATAACATCCCAGTCATCAGCGAGCTTGACTTCAAAATCAGTCTCCGATTTTGAAAATGAATTAACACCGCCTATTGTTCCTAAAATTAACGTGATGACACCAGAATTAGTTGCTGCATTAAGTCGATCGAATGTTTCTTGTAGAAATGCCATGTACATTATTTCTACGACTCTGCAACGCGTTGGAGTTGACTTAACTAGTGTAAACATCAGTTACAAAACAATTCAACGTAGCCGAATAGCTTTGCGAAAAGAAATTGCGAAGGGGTTAAAAGATGAGTTAAAGTTTGAAGATAATTATATTGTGCACTGGGACGGGAAACTGTTGACAGACATCACGGGAACCGATACTGTAGATAGACTTCCAATCGTTCTGACATCATGTGGTGGTGAACAATTGTTGGGTGTGCCGAAGTTAAAATCAGGAACTGCCAATGATCAAGCAGTTGCTATTCTTGAAACTCTAGAGCAGTGGGGTCTTAGTTCATATGTCAAAGGGATGTGTTTTGATACAGCAGCTGTTAATACAGGTTAGTTATTTATGATATACAAGCTATTTATTTGAATCATCTATATTTTTCGATTATTCCATTCGTTTTCTAGGAATTCATCATGGGACTTGTGCTGAAATAGAAAGAGCTTTCAGTTGAGAGTTGATTCATTTACCTTGTCGTCACCACATCTTTGAACTCGTTTTGAAAGGTGTGTTTGAGGTATATTGGCCAACCTCATCAGGCCCAAACGTTCAATTCTTCTCTAGATTTAAAAATAAATGGAATGGCCTTAATAAATACAATTTCAAGGCTGGGATGGATGATAGTATCGTTAATGAAATATTGTCAAATAGCAAACAAGCGTTAATTAATTTGATTGAAGAAAATTTACAGGTATGAATTCATAAATTTGACTTCACAAAAATTATGCATGCCATATGTTCTTGATGAAGTTGTCAGATCATCCTCACTTTATAGGATAATTAAAATTAAATTTTTTCTAAATACTTGACAGGTCCGTCAACCGAGAGATGATTATAAAGAGTTGTTAGAGCTATCACTGATTTTTTTGGGTGAAAAGCCAAAAGATAGCTTTATTTTTAAAAATCCAGGTCCAATTCATCATGCTCGTTGGATGTCAAAAGCCAAATGGATTTATTCGTTAAAAATATTTCTTTTTAGAGAAGAATTTAAATTAACTAGGCGAGAAATTGACGGTTTACGTCAAGTGTGTATTTTTCTAGTAAAAATATATTTAAAAGCTTGGTTTACTGCTCCATCTGCGATTTTGGCACCACACAATGATCTGATCTTCATGCAAGACTTGATTGAGTATAAAACTGTAGACAGTGACGTATCAAAAGCAGCTTGTTCAAAAATGATCAATCACCTGTGGTATTTGAGTGAACAGCTGGCAATTATTTCTCTGTTTGACGATAATGTGCCTCTACTCGTAAAGCAGAAAATGATTTTTTCTTTGGAAAAAAATCAAATAAGCACTGATCCAAAAAAGAAGTGATTTGAAATTGAGCAAGGAAATTTAGATACGTTGTTATCAGCAGACTTGAGTGATTTTATTTCAAAAAAATCATTGACTATATTTCAAATTTTCAACTTATCTACTGATTTCATGGACAAAAATGTTGAATTTTGGACACAGGATGAGAGCTATCAAGAAAATCTGGCATTTTTTAAACGGCTCAGCGTTGTCAATGATGTAGCGGAAAGAGGAGTTGCATTAATAGAAGAGTATAACAAATGTCTGACCAAAAATGAAGACCAGTTGCAATACTTATTGCAAGTAGTCAAAAATCACAGGCAAAAATTTCCAAATTGTAACAAAAAAAATTTAGTTTGATTTTGAGATAAAAAATATATTATAATAAATATATAATATATTGATATAATAAAAATTATTCGAAATAATTAATTTTTTTGTCATTACTCAGGTAAAGTACAGTTCCGAGTTTTGTTTTAATTAGGTATGGAAATATCGATTTTTCTTCCGATCATCGATATTTTGTAAAAATTTTATTGTTTAATTAAAAAATACTCGATAAAATTTACGAAAACTAAGATATTTTACATTTTTGAGTCATTATTTTGTGATAAAGAATAAGAAATTGTAAAAGTTATCATAAATTATTTGAGGTTGGAGTTTAACCTCGAATAACTTTTAAACGAGTTAACTTAGCGAAAAATCATTTCAGACCTTTTTTGTAGATCGTTAAATTTCCTACAAGAATATCTATTTATTTTTACTAAACATTAATTCGTTCGAGTGCATCAAAAATCCAAATAAAAAAAAAAAAATTCTTATGTTATTTAAATAGGAAATCAAAAATCACAACAAGTCACCTCTTAATATTAATATTAAGGGCTGAAACTTTACCGGAATTTTTTTTTTGTCATCTTGAACGATATTTTCGTAGTGGCTAAGAAAAAAAAATTAAAAGTTTTTTTTGGCCCACCCTAGTGTTGATGAATGGTTTGAATCAAGTCTCCAGACGCCACCATTTCTGAGCACGCCAAAAAATTCAAATAATAACTTAAGTTCTTAAAATTTTTTTTTATTATTAAATTTATATCTTTAACTTTGTACTGGTATAAAAAAAAGTAACAAATACTGTGACTTAAAAATTTATAATATGTCAAAAATCGTCTCCCGCGGAATCACCCTATTGTCTCTCCTATCTTACGGGCTATTGCTCACTTACTTCCACGCATGACTTTATTTGTTTACTTTACTAGTTTATCAATGATTTCTCAAAAACTATGTGGTAGGAAATTCCAGAATTTTGTAAGGTAATTATACATGTATTAATCTAAGTAATATTAGTTTTTCGTATAATTCTTAAAATTTCTTCAATACAAAAATAATAAAACTTCGCGGTTTTCTCTCTCTTTTCCCATACCGCCTGTGTGAAAATTTCATTATCAATTGCAATTATCTTCAGTTAGACGTGATAAATCGTCTCTAAATTTTAAAAGCGTGTGTATTATGTATTTAAATACTTCTATACGGAGTTTGAGAGATTTCTTGAATTTTTGCTTTTTGGGCCCAACTACTTTAAAATTTCAAAAAGTAAAAAAAATTTCTTAGAATTGTAAAGTATAAGAAATTACTTTTGATTTGAATTTTCAAAAATAATAAGGTTCAAAAATTTACTTGAGATATGAATTTTCAAAAATCAACAAAAAATTACTCTAAAAATTGTCAAATTCGATAATATTTTTTTGAATTAAATTTTCTCCAAATTCTATAAAAAAAATTTCGATAAAAAAGAAAAAAATATGTCCTTTGATACACCGAAGTATTTACAGTATCATCGCATGGTACTTCTTTGCCTTCTACCCTATGCAAAGAGTAGCCGTGTCAACATCAACAGTTAATTCGATTTGTTTGTTCGAGTTACATATTTGAGCATCTGAACAAAATTCGATAAAAATCCGTTCAGATAAACTTAACGAATAAATTCACTAGCCGACACCTAAAACCGTAATCTTACAATAAATTTAATCTTATTTCACTAATTCAACTTTGGCTAGCATCAACACTCTGATCTATTTAAACTTTTTCTTATCAACGAAGTAAAAGTTGTTAATAAGATTCGACTAATGTGCCGAGTGACCTCGTCCTCCGGGATTACCAGAGAAACCTTTTGAAAAGATAAACTTTAGTATTATTACCGTGTAAAAGACACTATTTCATTTATTGTTACCCCAGAAGCTGAGGGAAATCTAATTTTTTTCCTAAAACAATTTCCCATCCCTTCTTTTTCCTCTTATACTATTCTCGAGAAAAATTTCATGATCCGACCTTATATATCCATTTATTGCGATATCACAAACTTTTTTGTCCATAATTGGCCATGGCATAAAATTTTATGTCTATATATGGCCTCATATACCATATAATTTTTAATACGTCCTGATATGTTCATACATAGTCTGGTATGAAAATTAACCATGTCAGGTTATATATGGCCATATCAAGATACATATGTTTCAATGTATTTTGATAAGAATATGCTTATATACAACCAGAGATGGTCATATTTTTGTTTAAGACTTTTTCCATGAAAATTTTTTACATGTGCTCTGTTTTCTGAGAATATAGTTCCAAAAATCAGAAAAATACCTCAATTACAAGTTTACAAGCATGTATAGATAACACATTCTATGCTTGCAAAGGTGAACCATCTTATGAACTCCGCCGTCCATCTTACGGCATCAAACAAATTTTATTTTGTTTAAAACTTTCAGAGATGGTCATATATGTCTATGTATAATTTTTTGACCAAAAATAGTGTTGAAGATCCCCGATAGACGATATATGATCACTAAATTTTTTTGCTACAGATCAGTTAATTTTTAGGTATTGATGTCTTAAATTAAAACCATTCATTTACTCTCCTAAAGGGCTTATCTGAAAATGGTTTTTAGTTCAATCAATTATTAAACAAATTTTTGTTTAATACGAAAAAAAAACTTGATTCGAGAGAAAAATTCTTGAACCAAGAAAATTATTTAGACGAGCTTCATTGCCTTGGTTTAAGTAGAAAATTTTTGATCAGAAATTTTTGATTCAAGAATTTTTGGTCGCGTGTTTCAAGACAATGAAACTCTTCGAAATTATTTTCGTGATTCAAGAATTTTTCTCATGCATTGTTAATTTTTTTTTCCACTGCATTTCCAGTTCAAAAATAAAACATCAAAAAATTTTAATCAATTTTTTTTACGCTCGTACATGGCCATGTAAACAATTTTTTTTATGGATTCGTTTGGTATAAAATCAACTTCGAAATTTAAATATTAATGTGTGGTCTATTTCCCAATAACTTTCGTCAAATTTACAACCAAATATTCCATGTGATAAATAAATTGTTCTATTATGAGACTCCAATCACCTTCTAAATTCTAAACCGAAAAACCTATAAAGCTCAAACAGCTAGAAAATATGTCAAAACAATGAACGATTTCATTTTATCCTGTCCTGCAATTCCATCCCTCGTAGCACAGTATTTTTTATCTCCTATTGTACTCACATTATATAGGTACAATCCAGAATGTTACTCATACGGTATTTCTTAGTGCACCTCAATTCAATATAATAATAATAACAATAGATACACTTTTATCTCTTCTATTTCTTATTCTTGAGCGACCTCACTGACATGAATCGATCGGGTAATCGTCTGGCCACGTTCCCACTGGGCCATCTCTCAGCTGTATATCGGAAATGTACGTAAAACTTAGTTATCAACCCTTTTTCGGATGGACAGAGATCCATTAGTTCCATGATGGGCACAAATTTACTTTAAATTAACGTCCTTTCGTCTACGTTCTTACTTTCCCGATCGAGCCCTGGCTAACCCCCCCCCCCTTTCCCCCTTTTTCTCAAACAAAAAGCTCCGAGCTTCAAGCTCCGATAAATCTATTTTTCAAACAATTAAAAAATATTACCCTGGAATAGAATTACCAGGTGACTTTTTCAGAGAACGAGAGGGTCAGGTGAGAGTACAAAGTGGTATAGAAGCGCCCGCGCGGGTTTCCACCTAAATATATCATACACATACACTTGGTTAAGGTAAAAAACGCATGCGCAAATTGTAAGTCTAGGTTCTTTGTCTGTTATATGGCGCTTTTAGTAGTTTCTCTTTTCAACCCTCGCTCTCCAGCTGGTGATCCCAGAGCTTGGGAAAGAACTGGTGGGTGGAAGTCTCTCGTTCGGTCAATTCCTCACCAGTATGGCGCTACGCGCTCAAACATTAACATTTGTCGTAATGTCGGTACTGTAAACATACATTTGTTTAATGTGTACTCGTGATCGTGGATTGCGCGCGAATTTTCAATAAATTATTAATAACAATAAGACTTGAAAAAATTTTTGTTGATGATATTCATTAATAGTTTTTCGTTTGGTCGTTTAGTTACAAAATATTGGATTTTTTTGGTTTTAATATTTGCGTATGAAAGACATCGAGAATTTAAGTCAAATGTGGACACGGTTGTTACGAACTCGTGCTCATTAACCTAGAGAATAAGTGTGAAAAAAGGTTATTTTATTTGAAATAATAATAACAATAATAACAACAACGATAATAATTTTCAGAAATTCATCATTATTATTAATAAAGAGAATTGTTACTATTGTAAGCCAACTTTCCCGATCTAGTTGATGGTAAACTAATTTAATAGTAGACTAATTTAATTTTCAATTAATTAAAATAATTAATATATAAAAATTTAATGAAAATTGTTGTTGTTGTTGTTGTTGTTGTTGTTGTTGTTGTTGTTGTTGTTGTTGTTGTTGTTGTTGTTGTTGTTATTTTGATAAATTTTCAGTTAACAGACAACTATTAAAATTTGGGTGTTAAATTAGATTAATCCTGATAGATTAATTCAGGAGTTGATTGTAACAGAGTGAGAACGGGTAATTAACATAAATAAATAGAGATGCCTGGATAATTAATAGAGGATCGTAGAACTAGTTACGAGGGTTGCTGTTTAGTTGTAGCATTGACCTCCCACGAGGCTTAGTGGGACATAGCGGCGGTGGTGTGAACAGTAAGCAAGATGGCATGCCCATTCTCACGTGGATTCACCAGGACCAAATTGGAAAGTGATCGCGAGGGATGTGATGACGGAGGCTCCAGTGGGAGGAAATTTAGCAATGATTCTATTGGGAAACTGCCCTGTAAAAATGAGAGGTTCAAAACTTGCAGACAATCCTCCATTCAAATCACCTCATCGCTGCTAGGAGAGGAGATCGACGATCAAGAAGACACTCAGACTCTTAATCTCAAACACCTCAGAGCTGCTGTCCTCATTCTTACTAAACCATCGGTAATTTTTGATTATTTTTACTAGCTGTCAACTGCTCGAGTTGAAATTTGTTTTTGTTAATTTAGTAAAATAATTTTTTGTTTACAAGGATAAATAGTATAAATACTATCGAAATGCTTTATAAGTTAATCTTTAAAAATGAAAATTATTTTTACCTTTGTATATTGACATCTCTATAATTGTAATCAAGATTCTAATCAACTTAAAATATATAAAATTAGTTCATCAACAATGTAATCATTACGTTTTATTTACTTAAATAAAACAAAAAAAGAACGATTCGTAATGAAAAGTTATTATTTTTTCAACTAACAAAATATCGACAAAATATTATCAACTTAAAACACTAACTGAGAAACGATTTATTTTGAGAAATTAATTTAATTTCTATTGGTTTAATAGTTTGTTTCAGTCAGGCATATTTAAAAAGGGTTTTTTTCATTAATTTGTATAGATATAGATTATTGGAAGTATATAATTAGTTTATTTTTATTCCAGCTTATCTAAAAATTGAAGTACTATTACGTAAACTGATGAAAATGCTTACTCATTTTTAGCTTGATATTTGAAATGAACTTTCAAAATTATTATCCTTTATTAAAAAATTGATGTGAAGTTTTCATTGTTGTCGCTTTTCGTTGCTATGGTAACCACTTTGGCAACAGTTACCATGGCAACGATTGATTATTAATAAATAAAATTTGTGAAAATCAATTAAATTAATTAAATTGTCGATAATAATAATCTCGATAGAAGCGCGCTCGATTTTCTAATTATTTAAATTTTATTTCGTTTTAAAAAAACTAAAGTTACAAATAAGCAATTGAGCATGAATTATATACTAAAACTTTTTTCGAAACACGCTGCATTTTTTTGGTATAAATTTTATGTATAATTGCTTAGTAATTTTTTCAGTTTAGCATTTAAAAAAACCGTCGCTTTATTCAATATTATAGATTAATAATTTATGAAGTAATTATTATACATCAGTGAAATTTTTTAAATTCATTCAATTCAAATGAATGAAAAATCAAAACTTTTGTTTTATCCCTGGTTAAAAATATTGGTTGAAAAGGATTAAAAATGATGAAATTTGAATATTTTTGAATACTTTCAATTCTTTTTCATGTATATATAGATATACAATTTACATGGGGTGACTGATTCCCAATACTTTTCAATCAATATTTTTAATCATAAGAGAACATAAAATATGTAAATGATTTTATAATAATTATCATTTGCTTTAAATACTGCTTTAAAGCAGTAAATCTGAACTTCAAAAAAGTTTCAGAAACTTTAATGTAAAATATCTTGAGATGTTACGGATCAGAAAGAAAAAAAATTTCACTTCAATTTCAAACTTGCGAAAGAATTTGAACTTAACGAAAAAAAGGTTTTTATAATACGAATGCTAACTTTTTTTTTTTAAATAAAAAATTTCAGATAATAATCAAAAAAAAGATTATTAATAATTATAATTAATAAGAAACTAATCAATTTTTAAGAGCCAAAAATTTACTCCTCAAAAATAATATTAAAGAAACAAAACAATTATGGATTTGGATTAAAGTCTTGAAAGTTATGGCACATTTAAATCATATGATTGCAGATAATTAAGTTTATCCCGGCTAATTAAATATCTTTGATGAAAGCTTTTGAAAGTTTATATGAGAGCAGGAATAATACGTTGATAACTAGTGCCTAGTTTACTAAGAATAAGTCACGGGTATTAATCATCATAGTACGTAAATGGGACTGAGCTTCAGCTATTCACTGTATCAACAATTGTTTACTATTTCATTCGGGTAGTCAATGAGCATAAAGAATTCTCGGCTATTCATCTTTTTACAAAAATAAGCTATAATTAAAAAAACTTATGATTCATCCCGATTGAAAATAACATTTGACAACAAAATTAAATATGAGAAGTTTCGGGAAAATTTTTAATTAAAATTTAACAATTAATTTGATGGATACTAACGACATGCTCTATTTATTTACTTGAAGTACTAGATGTTTATCTTTTACGTCCTTTGTTTATTTTCATAGATACATATATATTTTGACTGAAAATAAATACTCGGCAGAACGTAAATAAATCGTAAACTTTCTTTCAAATCGACTTTATAATCTTAAAATAACAATCACAAAACTATTGCTTTGGTAAAACATTATTTTTATGTTTAATCGATTTTTAATTTAAATATTAAAAATAAAAATTTTAATATCTTTAAAACGGCTTAACCGATTGATGCCTAATCAGATTTAAGTGCCACGCGTCTCAATCAGTTAATTCGTTCTCAGGATTATACATCATACGGAAAAATAAATTCCAGCTTAAAAAAAGTAAAAAACAGTTTAATTTAAAAATTTTTTTAAGTATTCCATTTTTCGAAGCGGGAAGTTAAAAAAAGTCTCATATGTTTTTGTATTCAAACATATTAATATTCACTTAATAAACAAAAGACCAACTAATAAAAACTTCCTCCACTTTACAATTGTATTTAAAGTAGGCATCACAGTGTAGCGTGTAAATACGCAAACTTTTAGATCGATCCAGGTCAAATTCTACCGAATAAATCTAAATCCGAAAAAGTTGCTAAAAAAAAAGCATAACTTTTATTACTGTTTTTATAACTGACGACCTAGATTTCCTAATAATATTCACCGTAATTGTCTTGAAAACACAAACACTATTGTAGCTCTTAAGTTATTTTTTTCTTCAGTTTCAAAGAGTTGAATTGAAAAAAAATTTTTAATATAAGCGCAGACAGTAAAATTCATAATCCAATTCGGAGGTAATTGGCGGAACGGAAATCCGGTGAAGATAATTTTTAAGCAAAATTTAATCAATCAAACAATTCTGGAAAAAATGACTTTTCAATTTTTGCTTAATTGATTTTCAGGATCTCATTTGATGAAATTTGTATTATTATTTATGTCCTAAGAGTTTGAGTTTGCATATGGTGTTGAATTTATCAAAAATAAGTTTACGACAGTGTGTGGCACATTCGTCTTACTAAAGCTCCGATAACATCCCCGCGAACCTTGTAAGGGGAGGAGAAAATCTCGTTGGGTATCGGAGCGATTAAATTACTTGGAAGTGCTAGAGAGTTATTGGGTTTACCTAGATACCGCAATCGATATTGCTCAGCTTTTTTGGTTTTTTTTCTTTCAAATTAAATGTCATATTTTTTTGTAAGATTAAAAGAATTCATTTTTAACTTCACACTAAGAAAAATGAAAATTTTCAAAAATCGGGAAGTTATTGGTTTTACCCCGTTTTTCGAAAATCAAGTTCTCATCAGATCTTGACGTTTTGAGGTCCTAGGAAGCTTCCCTGAATGTTTTCGCGATGATGTCCATGTGTGTGTGTGTGTGTGTGTGTGTGTGCGTGTGTGTGTGTCTGCGTGTGTGTGTCTGTGTGACTGTGTGTGTGTGTGTGTGTGTGTGTGTGTGTGTGTGTGTGTGTGTGTGTGTGTGTGTGTGTGTGTGTGTGTGTGTGTGTGTGTGTGTGTGTGTGTCTGTGTGTGTGTTTTTTCCAAAGAGGTACGAAAAAAGATCTTCAAAAGACACCGCTATCGTTAACTCTGCCGCCCATCTTACGGCAGATATCGATAGTCGGTAGTGTGGAGATTTTTACCCACTAAAAAAAACATTCCTCTTCCCCTCTCCTTGTTGACGTGAGTGTTGTTCCTCCCAAGTCCACAGTGAATGGTTTTGGGAACCATTTTTGCCGTGTCAAAACGACCATCTCGGTTTTCTGTTTGGCGATTTTCAGGTGATGCTTATCAAGCCAAGTCTCGACGGTGTCGATGGTTTCCCGAACTATCAGTTCGGCCTCTTCTACGCTGTCCGCCACTATAGTGGCTGCAACGTCGTCTGCAAAGCCTGTTAGCTCTACTTGCTCTGGCAACGGGATTTCAAGAAGCTCGTCGTAGTCTGCGTTCCATAGATCAGGCCCCATTATTGAACCTTGCGGCACGTCAGCCGTTATGGCATATTCTTGTGGGCCTTCAGTAGTTTCAACTATTAGCTTTCTATCGTCAAGGTAATTGTCGACTAGTGCCAGATTTTCTGGCTCCGCGTCAAACTTGTGCTCCAGAGCGTCTAAAATGTCTCCCCAATTTGCGCTGTTAAATGCGTTTTTGATAACTAGCGTGAGAAGAATGCATACTTTACGAGCTTTAAGGCTACCAGTCCATGCTTCTCTCGCTATCCCTACGACTTTCTGGATCGCACCGACTGTTGAACGTCCTTCCCGGAAGCCATGTTAGTTTGCGGCAAAACCTCCAGCACGATCGATATCGTTTCGTAATCTTCCCTGTATAAGCTTTTCGAGCAATTTCCCAGCAATGTCCAGCATGCAAAGTGGTCTGAACGACGAGGATGTTACAGGGCCACCTTTGCCTTTATCTAGCAGAACCAATCTCTGCTGCTTCCAGACCGTGGGAAACGTGCCAGTTGCCAAGCATGCGTTGTAGGTGTTCAGGAATATGTCTGGATATTCTAGGGCTACAGTCTTGATCACCGATGCTGGGATGCCATCAGGGCTGGGTGCCTTTCCTGTCTTGAGGGTCTTCGCTGCATCCTGTAACTCCTTGGTTGTGAAAAGTGTGACACTGTTTTTCACATAATATCTTCTTTCCCTTGGTTGGTGTTTGGGGAACAGCTCCGCTACGATGCTGCTCATTAAAGCAGTTGGTTTCGGCGCTTCTGGTGAAGCTTTTCCAAGTCGTTTGATGACAATTTGGTAGGCTTTACCCCAGATGTCTTTATCAAGGTCGTTACAGATCTCTTGCCACAATTTCGCTTTGCTTGCTTTGATTGCCCGGTTGAGGTTCTTTTTGGCCTGCTTATACTCGCTCAAAAGTAGATCTTGATTGGGGGAGCGTTTCGCAGCTCTCGTTGCCAGCCTGTGCAAACTCTGATTTTTCAGCTGCGGCATAGAGGCGTCACATGCGGCAGCAATTTCCTTCATCGTATTTAGCACTGCCTTTTCCGTCTCGCTGCAGGTATCC